CTACAGCCAGCGGCTTGGTGGGTGGAAGAAGGAAGGGGTGGAGGAATTATCAAGATTTCTCAGAACAAAACAAAACAACCCCTCCCAAAACAGGAAGCAAGAGGAGTAGGAGCCCAGGGAGAGGCCTATTAAACTCTATGGTTACAAAGAGTCAGCAGGCAGCTCTCCTCTACCTTTTACCTCCCCCCCCATTTCCTGGCTTTCTTTTCCCTGGGTACCCTGTTCTGAGAGTTCCCTTCTATTGGCTGGAGTCAAATGGGAGGGTAGGAAGAAGCAGGGTGGAGGTGCATGCCTATAATCTCAGAACTCTGGAGGTGGAGGAAGGAGGAGGGTTAGTCTGAGGCCAGCCTGTACAGCATAAAGAGACCCAGTCTCAAAAGGGAGAGGGTAGGTCTGGAGAGATGACTCAGTCACTAGCTGCTCTTGCAGAGGACCTGGGTTCAGCTTCCAGTACCCACATGGCAGCTAACAACCATCAGAAACTCCAGTTCCAGGGGATCTGACACCCTCTTCTGGCTTCTTCAGGCATCGCATGATATGGGTGCACTTACAGCATGAAGGCGATACAATCACACACATAAAAAATAAAAATTAAAAAATCCAAAAAAGGGAGGGGTAGGAAACAGGGTTCAAAAGAGCAGAGACCACACCCTTGGCCACAGGACAAGAGAGGAAGCTGGTAGAGGCCAGCCAGAGCTGAGTCCTCAGCCCACTAACATCCATACTGTGCGTAGATTTCCTCAAGTTACTCTCAAAAACTTGGAGGAATCATCTCTGTAGGTGGTGGAGACAGGAATTATGACAGGGTTGCTTTGAGCAGCTGCAGTTGTGAGCCTGGAACATGTACTTGAATTGACTCTCACAACAGTTTAGTATCATTGGCATTCCATTTTACTAAGAAAGGAGCTCAGAGAGATGAGGCACATAACCTGGGGTTTCATAGCTAGCAAGTGGCAGAGCCCAAGATTTCATGTTCTTTGCTCCCAGGGAAGACTGAGCCTAAAAGAAAACATTTATATTCAATATAATGTTACATAATTGTTTTCCTAGGGTTGGGAGCAGAAGATCATGAAGTCCAGCCTAGAAAATGTAGGGCAGGAGGTCACACCTAAAGCCAGAGAGACAGGTCAAGGGGTAGGAAGAAATAGCACCAGAAAGACATCTAACCAGTGGGATTTGTCTGCCCTGGAGAGGGAGGAAGGGAGAAGGAATATAGTGAAGGGGCAGGGTGTTGAGGTCAGAATTGGGCTACTTAACTCTTAACCTTGAGTGTGATCACCAGCAGTTCCTGACTCCCTGGAGCTGAGTTCCATGTGTTGCATTTGTACGTTTCTAGGGAGAAGTTGATAGCTTTTTATGATTCTCAGAGCTGCTGACTGTAAGGAAGGTCAAAATCAGAGTTGGATGGGTGATTGGATGGGCCTTGAAAGATCCTGGCAGCTGTGTTGGAGGATGCATGGGGTGGCGAAGAAGAGGAGGGGTCCAGAAGGGAGAGATGAGGGCTGCATGAAGGCGTACTGGAGGATGCGGAGGGAAGGCCCTTTGAGCTCGGCTTGGATGGCGAGTTGTGGGAGGAAGCTCAGGTATGGGACTTGGATAACCTGGCAAGTGGCGAGACACCTTCGTGCTTTCAGGGCTATGGGATCCAGTTCTTCGGATCCAAGGACTATTACGAAGGTGAGTGGTGCGCCAATCAGCGTAACGGGTGGGGCCGTATGTACTTCAGCAACGGCGACATCTACGAGGGACAGTGGTGGAAAAACAAGCCTGAAGGGGAGGGCATGTTGCGGCTGAGTGAGTGTCCCGCCCCGTCAGACCACGCCCAACGCCTCTGGGCCCCGCCCCACCAACAGGCCACGCCCACACCCGTCACTCCCAGCCATCCCCCATGAAACTGCAGGCTTCTTGGCCCTGAAAGTCCAAGGCGACCTTCTGTGGCCCTGGGTCAGCTGGGAAGGCTTAGGCGTCTGTCGGTATTGCCCCCCCGCCCCCAATGTCCTTTAACTCTCAGCCTGCCTTCTGTGAGCATCCACTACGCATAGCCTGCATTTAGTGAGCACTTCCTGAGAGTGGAGCAGAGTCAATGCTGTAGCTATTCATCTCTCAGGGCCTGGACTCTGGGCGCACGTGCTTGCAGGAGTTCAGATCCTGGCCTGAGCCTGGCCTAGCCCTGGGACCTTGGGCCATTTACTTAAACTGCACTCCGGTTTCTTTGTGCTTAACATGGATAAAAAGTAAAAACAGAGGGCTGGAGAGATGGCTCAGAGGTAAAGAGCACTGACTGCTCTTGCAGAGGACCTGGGTTCGATTCCCAGCACCCACATGGTGGCTACAAACCATCCTTAACTCCAGTTCCAGAGGACTCCAAAGCCTTCTTCTGACCTCTGCAGTACTGCACGACACAGGTTCACTCACATACATGCACGCAATACACTTATACACATAAAATAAAAATAAAATATTTTTTTTAAAAAGTAAAAATGGTAGGGACTGCAAGATGGCTCAGAGGGTGGAGGTGTTTGCACACAGGTTCAACAACCTAAGTTAGATCCCTATATCCCACAATTGAGTCCAGCACATTGTCCTCTGACCACACGATGTGCCACACATTCACCGTGGCAGGCACATACCTGTACTTCATACCTCTCTCTCTCTCTCTCTCTCTCTCTCTCTCTTTCTCTCTTTCTCTGTGTCTCTCTGTCACACACACACACACACACACACACACACATACACTCTAAAATAAAAACCCTGACTCAAAAAATAAAACTCAGAACTGTGTGTAGTGGCACACACCTTTAGTCCCAGCACTTGGGAGGCAGAGGCAGGCAGATCTCTGAGTTCAAGGCCAGCCTGGTCTATATAGTGAGTTTCAGGCCAGATGGGGCTATAGGGAGACCTGGTCTCAAAAAGACCAAAAAATATAAATAAAAAATAAAATCCAGGGACTGGGAGGTGTGACTCAATGGTAGACCAGTTGCCTAGGCCCAAAGCCTTAACATGGGTTCTAGCCCCAGCACTGCAAAACAAAACAAAAACTCCTCCTGCCATGGTGGTACACTGCCTTCGATCCCAGCATGCTAGAAGCAGAAGCAGGCAGAGCTTGGTGAGTTCCAGACCAGACTGGTCTACATAGTGAGTTCCATACTGGCTAGAACTACATAGTGAGACCCTGTTTCAAAACAACAATAAAAAACAAGCTGGTGGCCGTAGCTCAGTGCAGAGTATGTGTGTGCTTAGCATGTGCATGCCCTAGGTTCTAGCTCCTATACTAAAAAATACAATAAAATCTCTGTAGTGGTTGAGGGTAAACAAGGTTTATTAGTTCATATGGTGCTTAGCATCAGGGATACTTCGCCTGCTAGCTAGTGCTTAAGGAGCATCTTACTAGCTAGTATCTAGCTAGTGCTATAGTATATAGGACTGATGGAAGCCCAGCCTGGTAGTCCTGGCTGCTGCTCTGTGCCCAGCACCTATGCTTTCCTATCCTTTCCCCAGAGAACGGGAACCGATATGAGGGCTACTGGGAGAGAGGCATGAAGAATGGGCACGGTCATTTTTTCCACCTGGACCACGGCCAACTGTTTGAAGGCTTCTGGGTGGATGATGTGGCCAAGTGTGGCACCATGATTGACTTTGGCCGTGATGAGGCTCCTGAGCCCACCCAGTTCCCCATTCCTAAGGTGGGTAGCTCTCCCCAGGCCCTGCAGCTAGAGAGAGAAAAAGTAGCATCCTGGCCCTACTTGTCTGGGAAACAGATGAAGTTTTGTTTTCAAGCAGGGCATGCTAGCAAGGTAGCCTGGGGCCTCCTATGCTCCCTAAACCAAGCGCTTACTTCTTTCCAGGTAGAAATTCTAGACCCTGATGGTGTGCTGAAGGAAGCCTTGGCTATGTTCATGAAGTCAGAGGAGGAAGCAAACTGATGCCAGATGAGGAGGTACACCTGCCTGCTACCTCTAATGAGATTTAGGTTGCTCAGGGCCCTGAACAATGCTGATCTCCTGGTAGTAGGGGAAGACCAGAGAGGACAAGTTTCTTGTCTCCTGCAGTCCAGCATTTTGGTTACTCCTTTTTGGTTACTCCTCTTTAAAGCCCATGTTCCTGAAGACCAACCATATTCCAGTCCTGCCCAGATCTTCCCATATGTAGTCTGGAACTCCTTGGGGTGGGCACTGAGCTGAGTCAGGTGGTTTGTCCTTGAGCGAGGCTATGGGCCCTAGGTTTCCATTGACACAACTGTTTGTGGAGCCTTGCCCAGTCATCTGCTCCTGTCGTGCCTGTTGAGTGAGGCTTTGGGGAGAGGGTGTTGGTCCATTATCTTTCTAGCTCCCCCAATCATTCTCCATACAGATAGAACTTCAAGGCTCAGAAGAAACTCAAGCTCTTGTCACCCAACTGCTCAGACCGGTGTGGCTCCTGCAGGAAGAGCAAGCAGTAACTCTGGGCACACCCTTGACTCTTTCAGAGGGTACCCTACTCCTATAGACACTAGGTCTTTTTTACAAATGAAGGTGAGGCAGTGCTTCTCTCTCTTGCTGGCCTTTTAGGAGCCAGTTGTTAAAGCCTTTGCCTTATGACTTTCTATCACAGTGCATGAGAATAAAGAACCTGGTGGCCTTAGCTCAATGGCTATGGTTTGAGGGGTGGGAGGGCTTGGAGGGTCAGCAGAGGGAAGATGGCATCACTGGCTCTGTGGGTGTCCCCGGGGTGGGGAAGGCAGAGAGGGGCAAGGGAGGTGGGTTCAACTTTACCACCTCTGAGCTAGTCCAGAAAGAAGAGGAAGCCTGCACCCTGCCGAAATGGCCAGGAAGATGTGAGATTAAAGAAGGCCCCACCTTCTCAACCTAACACAGGAATCCCTCAGAAGCTTTAAAAGCTATGGATGCCCAAGTCCCTTGGCCAGGGGCTCACATCTGATTATTGTGGTACAAAGCCTGGGCTTTCCAAAAGCTTTGTAGGGGATTCTGATGTGACACTGGCACTGAGAACCTCTGACTTACTGTGTCACCCTAAGCAAGGGGCCTCAGTTGTTCCATCTGCAAATTAGGACCTAGAATGCACAGGAATATTCTGAGGTCTTTACACCAAGTTGCAATAACATATATTAAAGTTAACTGTGGACGGGGTACCAAGGAAGAGATCTGTAGAATTATATTCTGCACAGCATTCCTGAGCAGTATGAAAGACTGGTTTATTGGATAGGAATATGAGCTCAGGAGCCAGCTTGCCTTGGTGTGAATCCCAGAGCTGTGTGTTCTTGGGACTGTCACCTAAACGGTTCTCTAGGGCCCCTTGACTTGAACACGAGACAATAAAACCTAACACCTGGGGTTATTGTGGCCATTTACTGTGAGAATAAAATTAGACAGGTTTTTTTTTTTTTTTTTTTTTTTTTTTTTTGGTCTGTTTGAAGCAGGGTCTCCTTGTAGTCCCAGCTGTCCTGGAACTCACTATGTAGACCAGGCTGGCCTTGAACTCACAGAGATCCGCCAGCCTCTGCCTCCCAAGTGCTAGGACTACAGGTGTGCGCCACCACGCCCTGCACTAGACTGGTTTTTTAAAGCAGGTGAGATTTTTGTCCATGTTCCCACTCCCTACTGAGACCCCTGCCCCTTGGGGATATTTGGCAATGCTTGGAGACACTTCTGGTTGCAACAATGCTGGGAGAATGCTACTAGAATCAAGCGATCATGGGGTAAACATGCTGTGTTGGAAACAGGCTACAAAGAAACGATTTAGCTCAAAGTCTGTTTGGAAAGCTCCCAGCAAGTGCCCCAAACTTAGTGAAGGCTGAATCAGCATTCAGACTAAGTGGGGCATGGTGGCTCACACTTGTAATTCCAGCATTCTGGAGGTGGAGGAGGTAGAATCATCAGGGATTCAAGGCCAGCCTGGGCTACATAGTACAAAGACAACCTCAATGAAAGAAAACAACAACAAAAAAATCTCACATTATGAAGTTTTCTCTGCCCCCAAAATCCTGTTGGTGACTTGCTTCGGGCATGGTACTCTGCCTGTACCTGACACCAGGAAGTCAAGACCAAGTGACAACAGACTATAGGATCAACATAACTACGGGCATTAACTCTGTATGGGGCCGGGGTTGACAGCTTCAGTTGCCTCTCCTGACTGCAGCCTTACCTGTGAGGTGTCCTGCTCATAGCTGTGCTATTTTAGAGGTGCAAATAGGTTCCTAAGCCCCCAAGCTAAGCTTAGATCTTTTTAAAAATTTTTTGGTCTTTTTGAGACAGGGTCTCCCTGTCTGTCCTGGAACTCACTATGTAGACCAGGCTGGCCTTGAACTCACAGAGATCCACCTGCCTCTGCCTCTGCTGGGATTAGGGGGTGAAAATGCATGGAGTGTTTCCATTGTTTTAGAAAAAGTGGAGGTGGGGCACACCTGTTTATATATAAAATCTAACTAGCAACAAGGGCCCCCGGTGGGTAGAACTAGAGACCTGGGAACAAGGGTGGAGAAAACATTTTTACTATTGAATTTGGAAGCATGCCAATGTCTAATCTACTCTACCCAAAATAAAAATAAACCGAAAGACTACTTTTGAAAATTCATTTATTTGGGTGCTGATATCAGGAATCCAAAGCTGCATGCCTGCTAAATGCTCTATTGCTGAGTTACACCCCAGCCCTAGGACTGGGCTCCTTAGTGTTTGCCCAAGCTGCCTGGGTTTGAATACCTGTTTGTTGGAAATAGATTTGAGATATACCCAGACCAACCTGCTTACCTAATCAGAAGCTGTGGTGAGGGGGTGGTGTCTGGGATTTTGCATTCTACAAGCCAGTCTGGTGTTCTTGATTCCGGACGTGTTTAGGAAAAAGAACATAGGCTACAGGATCATCATCCAGAAATGATTCCAGCAGGACTCTGGGCATCTGCAGAAGCAGAAGGTGGCTATCTGAGAGGAACATGGGAAAGATGTCCAGGTCTTTCTGGGGGACAGAGGAGGCTGCACACGGAGAGCCCTTCCCAGTCTTACCTGGGATCTCTCAGGAGGGTGGTCCTGCATATGACACAGAGATGCATAGTGGATGTGAAGTGATGAATGTGAGACAGATAGAACCCAACTAATTTTTACTTCAAGTAGAACATACACTTTATAAAACTACTTTGTAGGGTCTGGGGTGTAACACAGAGGTAGGATGTCCCAAGTTTGATCCTTAGAACCATCATAAAAAGAGCAAACAAACAAAACTACTCTGTATATCAGGCTTCTGGGACAGGCAGAAACCTCAAACTCGGGGCCCATAAGGGTCAGGCACATGTTCCACATCATGCATGTGGGGGTCAGAGGACAACTTTGTACTACAAAGCAAAGAGACAGTTGGTTCCCTCCTTCAACTCCTCCCTCCCTGCAGTGGGAAGCAGTCAGCTTTATCGGCTGAGCCATCTTGCTGGCCTAAGGCAAGAAATGTTAAGTGAAACTGGACTGGTGTGAAATGAGAGGGAATGTGTGCCAGGGAATATGGCAAAAATAGGCCATAGGTGTTTGGGGGGGGCACTGTAGAGATGGCTCAGTGGTTAAGAGTGCATTCTGAGCTGGGCGTGGAGGCACATGCCTTTAATCCCAGCAGAGGCAGGCAGATATCTGTGAGTTCAAGGCCAGCCTGGTCTACATAGTGAGTTCCAGGACAGCTGGGGCTACAGAGAGACCCTGCCTCAAAAAGACCCCCCTCCCAAAAAAGTGCATTTTGCACTTGCAGAGAACCGAAATTTGATTCCCAGCACAGATGTTGGGTGATTCACAACTGCAGCTCCAGGAGGGCCAATAGGTCCTGGCCTTGAGTCACCTGCACTTATATACATGTATCCACACATAGGCACACAAATGCACATAATTAAAAGTATTTTTTTTTTAAATAGGCCCTGGGTGGGGTCGGAGAGATGGCTCAGTGGTTAAGAGCACTGACTGCTCTTGCAGAGGACCGGGTTTGATTCTCAGCACCCACATGGTGGCTACAAACCATCCTTAACTCCAGTTCCAGGGGAATCCAAAGCCCTCTTCTGACCCCCAAGGCATTGCATGACATGGGTGCACTCACATACATGCAGGCGATATGCTCATACACATAAAATAATTAAAAAAAAAAAAAAAAAAAAGCCCTGGGTAAGGGTGGCTGAAACTCAGCATCTACTCACTGGAGTTCTGCAAGGTGGGCCCAGTGCCCCTGGACTTCCCATTTTCCAAGCAATACCAGAATCTTCCCAGGTAAGATTCTTGTAAGGCCCCGGGCTCAGAGCCACCTTCCAGGTTTGAGTCCTGGCAACTTACTTGTGATAATTAATCTTCATTGTCGACTAGATTAAGAAAAGCTTAGTGAAGTGCACCTCTGTGTTTGTGATGGTATTTCCAAAGGCAATTTAGATCACAAGTTCTCTGACCTCATCAGTGGAGTCATTCCTAGATGGCTCAGATGACAGCATTATTGTGAGGTGGTGAAAGGTGGGAAGTGGGGCTTGACTGGAAGGTTATTCAGTAACTTCGTATGTATCCTTGGGGGCTAGCTCTTGCTATGGCTACCTCTTATACCCACTTTTATTCTTTGCTTCTATAACATGAACTGCACTGTTCTGCCACAGCCTCTCTACCATAATATAATGGACTAATACCTCTGAAACTATGAGCCAAAATAAATCCTCTAAGTTGCTTTCCTTGGATATTTGGCCACAGTGATGTAAAGGCCTGAAAAAGGGATTTGTTTGAGCATCAGTTTTGTTTTCAGTACAGTGAAGATTAAGGTTCTGACCTAAGAAGAATGTTGAGGGTTAAAAAGCAATGAACAGTCCTTAGCACATCTAATGCACATAATGGTTAACTAGTCTTATTTTGTTGTCTGAAATGGGTTCTGACAAAATCTTACCTACTACTCCTGCCAAAACACACTCTGATTGTAATCATGAGAAAATATTAAGAGAAGCCAATTGACAGGGCATTCTGTAAAACCAAAGGCCTGGATGCTTCAAATATGCTGTCTAGCTACGGATGTAGCTCAGTTGGTAGAATGCCTGCCTAGCATGTATGAAGCCCTGAATATGATCCCTAGCACTGAAAAAAACCTAGTGTGCTGGCACATGCCTGTAATCCCAGGACTTGGGAGGTGAAGGCAGAAGGATCAGTAGTTCAAGGTCATCCTTCACTACATTGAGGCTAGCCTGACCTACATGAAACCATATTTTTGTCTTTTTAAAAAAATATTTTATTATTTTTATGTGTATGAGTGTATTGCCTATATGTATGTGAGTGCACCTGTGTCCTGCAATGCTGCAGAGGTCAAAAGAGGGCTTCAGATTTCCCTGGAACTGGAGTTAAGGACAGTTCATAGCCGCCATGTGGGTGCTGGGAATCGAACCCAGGTCCTCTGCAAGAGCGGTCAGTGCTCCTAACTTCTGACCCAACTCTCCAGCCCTTTTTTTTCTTTTTTTGAGACAGGGTTTCCCTGTCGGCCCAGCTGGCCTAGAACTCAAGAGATCGAACTGCCTCTGCCTCCCAAGTGTTGGGATCAAAGGTGTGCACCACACACCTGGACTGAAGCCATCTTTAAACAAAGTTAATGTTTGAAAAGATGAAAGATCAGACCGAGGAGTGCGTGGTGGTGCACGCCTTTAATCCCAGCACTCGGAAGGCAGAGGCAGGTGGATCTCTGTGAGTTCAAGGCCAGTCTGGTCTACATAGTGAGTTCCAGGACAGCTGGGGCTACAGGGAGACCCTGTCTCAAAAAGAAAAAAAAAAAAAAAAAAAAGAGGGACTGAAGAGATGGCAACTGCTCTTGCAGAGGGCCTGAGCTCAGTTCCCAGCACCCACATCAAGTAGCTCAAAACCACCTGTAACTCCAGATCTGATGCCTTCTTCTGGCCTCCATGGGCACCTGCACTCATACCCATACCCAAATATACACACAAAAATAAATCTTTTTATAAAATACTTTAATTTTTTAAATTTGTGTATGAGTGTTTTGTCTGCATGTGTGTGAGTGCACCCTGTTGTGTACAATGCCTGCAGAGGTCAGAAGGTGGTGTTGGATGCCCTGGAACTGGAGTTATGGATGGTGGTTAACCGCCACGTGAGTGCTGGGAATTGAACCTGGGTCCTCTGTAAGAACAACCAATGCTCTCAACCACTGAGCTGTCTTTCTATGTTGGGGGCCCCTGCTGTGAAGCAGAAGTCCCTTCACGTCCGGACAGCTCATGCAGCTCGGATTCATGTGCTGAGACTCCTTTCAGCAGAGTACCTGGCATCCTTCCTGACTCCTTTTGAAGTGCCCGCCACAAATGCTCTAAACATAAACATGGCCTCTGGCTCCAGGAATACCATGCCTTCCTGTGTGATTTTTCAGGTAGTCAGCAGTCTGGCAGAAACCCACTTCCATATGTAAATAGAATGCCTCACAAAGTATCTAACAGCCAAAGCTTTTACCACTACCCCCATGGTATAAATATCCTAGTCTTCTCTCAATATTGGGGGCTAGAAGCAGAGCTGGAACTAGAGCAGGAACTGGGTCACTGAGACTTGGAATAAAGAGCTGTAGACTGAGTCTGTGTCTCCTGCCTGCAATCTAGTCTCCCCGGGGGGCAGCACTCCTCCATTACCGACTTGCGGACATTTCTAGCTTTCGCTGTCCTCATACTCTTCCCGCGCGGTCCAGTGGCCAGTGGCCCTCGCTTCCTGAGGAAGGTACACGGGTGAATTAAGGGCGGGATTCGGCTGGACAACGCTCCAGCAGCGGAGGAACTTTCACCACCAAGAGCTGCGGCCAGCCGCATCCAGGAGACATGAGCCGCGGTGCCACAGGACGCGGCCCGCCGGAGAAGCTTGCGGGACCAGACCTGCCATCCTCCAGACGCCCGGCAGGGAAGCCTGCGGACCCGCCGTGCCATTCGGGGAGTGCACGCAGGGACCCCAAGAGCCCAGCGTGTGCTCACCTATATTTCTAGCCTCCACAAAAATAAGTTTTAACTGGATGTAGTGGTACATGCCTTTAATCTCCCACATGGGAAGCAGAGGCAGGTGGATCTGAGGCGAGCCTGGTCTACATAGTGAGTTCCAGGTCAACCAAAGCTATATAGCAAGGCCTTATCCCAAAAATAATTTTTTTTTTTTTCGGTCTTTGTGACAGGGTCTCCCTATAGCTCCAGCTGGGCTGAAACCTGCTATGTAGAACTGGCTGGCCTTGAACTCACAGAAATCTGCCTGCCTCTGCCTCCCGAGTGCTGGGATTAAAGGCATGTGCTATCATGCCCAGCTTCATGAACATTTTTTGTAGTCTGAAAATTTTTCAAAAAAAAAGTTACCTGTGCTAGGGGTATAGCTCAGTGGTAGTATACTTGCCTAACATGCTCAAGTTCCTGAGTTCTATCCCTGGTAATACATACATATACACATATATACACACACACACACACACACACACACTTTTTGCAGTGTTGGCAGATTGAACCCAAGGCTTTGTATACGCTAAATAGATGTTCTGCTGCTGAGTTCCCCGCCTCCCAATTTTTAAAAACCTTTATTTAGGGGCTCAGTGGACTGGGGCACCAGAAAAATGACATCAGGTAGCACAGACCAAACAAATACAGACATGAGGAAGTGTCCCTTGTGAATATGTTTATGTGTTCACACACACACACACACGCACACACACACACACACACGCATTTGGCATTGAACTGGAAAGGGAGGTTGAGAGGAAAGGACAGGAAGCATCCGGGTGGCACTGGCCCAGGGGAGATGAAGGGACAAAGAGAGCATCTGTCCCAGCTCTCTCCCCCAACCTCCTACCAAGAGGGGCCCTAGAGCTGGAAGAACAGGGAGTGCTTATTCTCTTAGAAGTCTCAAAGTGCAGATTTTTTTTTTTTTTTTTTAAAAAGCCTTTTCCCCCAACTTTTTGCCCTAGTGAAGCCCAGCTGCCTGCACAGGCTGTCCTCAGGACTGGGGCAGGACAAGAAGAGCGTAAGGCCAGAGCTCCGCAGGGCCCAGTGTGAGGACCAGGGCTTAGGCATAGTGGGTGCCGGGAGTTAGGGAGTGGTCCCCTCTGTGGTCCAGCTGGTCCTGCAAGCGGGCAAACTCAGCCAGCTCATTGAGCTCCTGGAACTGTCGGTCCGTCTTATGGCTGACCAGTGAGCGGTAGAAATGGACAGCAAAAACAATAAAGACCAGGCCACAGGGGACCATGATGGCAGTGGAAGCGATAGCTGCCGCCTGGCCTGGGGTAATGCCACCACTGTTAATTATCTCAGGAGGCTGCGTGGTGGTGGGGATCGGCTGGCCTGGATGTTTCTTAAGGGGTAAGAACTTGACCCAGCAGAGCAGCACAACTTCAGCCAGAAAGAGCAGCGTCCCAATGACAGTAGAGAAGGCCCAGGCCAGCTCAATGTGGCGATGCATGCGCTCATGAGGTGACTCTTTGACTGAGTTGAGGTTGTGGACGTTGCTCACGGCCTCAATGTTGGGCAAGATGCATGTGCTGATCATGAGTGCAAACAAGTGCACGGCCACCAGCACGGTGGTACAGGCGCTGAAGACGATGAGTAGCCCCGGTGGATAGTCATGGTTAGTATCCAGCTGCACCTCCACCATCGCCACCTGGGAGAGGGGAACAGGAAGAGTGAGTGGCAGGTGCAAATCCTAATTTTCCCCTTATCCTGAGCCTATCACTTGGCCTAAGTCTCAGAGTCTGAGAATAAAGCCCACCTACTTTGGGTTGAAAAGAAGGAAGTACAAGTGAAGAAGGGGCGCTTGGAGCCCTCTGAGCCTCACCATACATGGAAAACAGATTACATCCTATTAATTCATAAGATTATTTTAATAATTAAATGAGCTGGGCGTGGTGATGCACACCTTTAATCCCAGCATTTAGGAGGCAGAGGAAGGTGGATCTCTGTGAGTTCAAGGCCAGCCTGGTCTACATAGTGAGTTCCAGAACAGCGGGGGCTACAGAGAGACCCTGTCTCAAAAAGACCAAAAAAAAAAAAAAATTAGAATGCCGGGCGTGGGGGCGCATGCCTTTAATCCCAGCATTTAGGAGGCAGAGGAAGGTGGATCTCTGTGAGTTCAAGGCCAGCCTGGTCTACATAGTGAGTTCCAGGACAGCGGGGGCTACAGAGAGACCCTGTCTCAAAAAGACCAAAAAAAAAAAAAAAATTAGAGTTCCTGGTACATAATAAATACCTTCCAAATGGTAATGCTGTCACTGCCAATGTTAACCATCATGGGTGTTTAAAATGGTACATTTTCTGTCATGCTTATTTTACTACGATTTTTGAAATGCAGCAAAGAAACCAGGTGTAATGGTATATGCCTATAATCTTAGCACTCTGGAGGCAGAGGCAGGCAGATCTCTGTGAGTTCAAGGCCAGCATGGTCTACACAGTGAGTTCCAGGCCAGCTTGGGCAACAGGGAGACTCTGTCTCAAAAAGACCAAAAAAATAAATAAATGAAAATTTAAAAAGCGATCTCAGAACATGGAGAGCTGAGGCAGAACTGACATGAATTTGAGGTTAGCCTATGCTAGAGTCCACAGAGCGGGGGGGGGGGGGGGAAAGGATAAGGGGGGTTGTGTCTCAGTGGTAAGGAATGAGAGAGAGGCTTGGATTTGAGACCCAGCACTGCAAGGGAAATTTTTAAAAATCTTTTTAAAATTTTATGTGTATGAGTGTATTGCCTGCATGTGTACAAGTGCACTCATGTTGTGCAATGTCCACAGAAGTCAGAAGAGGGCATCGAATCCCCTGGAACTGGAATTACAGACAGTTGTTGGCTGCCATGTGGGTGCTGGGACTTGAACCCCAGTCCTCTGCAAGAGCAGTCAGTGCTCTTAACTGCTGAGTTATCTCTCCAGCTCCCCAATTTTTTTAATTTAAAAATATTTTATTACCTTTTATTTTGTGTGGGCTCATATGTGTGTATGCACACAAGTACCACAGTACGTGTACAGATCAGAGACAACTTGTGGGAGTTGGTTCTCCTTCCACCATGTGGGTCCCAAGGATCAAACTTGGGTTGTCAGGCTTGGAAGCAAGTATCTTCACCTGCTGAACTATGGTTCCACATTGTTCCACCCAAACAGGATTCTATTTCATGTCCTGCTCTGGGGACAAGGAATAGGTTGGGGGCTGGAGAGATGAAGGACCTTCCATATCACACCCAAGTCAATTCTGAGAACATAGTGCACAGGCCGATAAGGAACTAAGAGGCTTCCCAGAAGAGACAGGCTCAATTCAAGGCTCTCTCCTCCTCTAGCCCCAGGGCTGATGCACTGGCTGCTCCCCAGTTCCTGGAGACATAAGGATCTGGGGTAACCAGGGGCACGCTCTGGGCCTGCCACCTGTTCTTTTCACTTGGGTAGGCCTTGCAAATTGCCCTCATGCAAAGGAGCCAGCTCATCAGTTTTGGGCCAAGAGCAGCAGGTAATTGGGTAAACTGCCAGGGTATGCCCACATGGGCTGAAGAGACAAGAGCAGTAACTGTACAGAAATGGGAAATGACACTAATACTGTCAAGAGGAAGGTGGGGATGTAGCTTGGTTGATAGGTGCTTGCCTAGTATGCACAAAGCCTTCAGTTCAATCACCAGCATGGGTATAAAGCAGGAGTGATGGGTAGAAGCAGAAGGAATAGTTTAAGGTCATCTTTGGCTACACAGGGAGTTCAGGTTTTATATATGATATATATATATATATATATATGGCTGACCCTTGTCAAGTCTGACATCCTGAGTTCAATCCCCAGGACCTACATGTAGGAGAGAACTGACTGTTGTAAACAAGTTGTCCTCTGACTACATAGATGCTGCTGTGGCATGTACACACCATATATACACACACATATATGTATATGTAAATATATAAAGGATAGGGACTTTGTTTTTTTTGAGACAGGGTCTCCGTATAGCCCCAGCTGTCCTGGAACTCACTATGTGGACCAGGCTGGCCTTGAACTCACAGAGATCCGCCTGCCTCTGCCTCCCAAGTGCTGGGATTAAAGGTGTACACCACCACACCCGGCTTTTTTAAAATTTTATGTGCATGAGTGTACTGCCTGCATGTATGTATGTAGGTGCACCTGTGTCGTACAATGCCTGTAGAGGTCAGAAGAGGGCATCAGATCCTCTGGAACTTGAGTTAGGAAGGTTGTTAGCCACCATGTGGGTGCTGGGAATTGAACTCAGGTCCTCTGCAAGAGCAACCAGAGCTCTTAACTGCTGAGCCATCTCTCAAGCCCCGTGACTATATTTTTGAGAAGCCTTTGTCTCATTTTGTGGCCCAGGTTAGCCTAATTTATAATCCCCCTGCCTCTGCCTCTACCTCCTCAGTGCCTGACTGAGTTACAGGGCTGTATCACTTCACCGGCTAAAGAAAGTGACTATAAGGGCTGGGAGTAGTATGCCTTTATTCCTAGCACTCCAGAGGCAGAGACAGGAGGCCAGCTGGGGCCACAGGGAGACCCTGTCTCAAAAAAGACCAAATGACCAAAAAAAAAATAAATAAATAAATAAAGTGACTGTAAAATGTTTGCTTTGGAATGAAGGGGGTCTTACATGTATGTCTCTCCAATGGCTGCATACCAGCTCACCACCACTTGGGCCAGCCCCAAGTCCTGCTTCACCCCTAGAAGTGGGGATGGGCTCCTTCCCCAACTCCCCTCCTGCCAGCCTGCTGGCTTTGAACCCTGACTCCTCTGCCTTTTATAGGCTGTGTGACCTTGGCAGGTTCCTTCAACTTTCTGTGCCTCGGTGTCCACATCTGCAAAATGGGAATAATGAAACATGCTTTGGAGAGTGGTTGTGAGGACTGAGTTAATCTATGAGAAATACTTGCTGCCTGAGACACAGTAAAACTTTAGTTTAAATGGGGCTTTATTGCTACTCAGTTTAGAAACTTCATCTCTAAACCCAATATACCTGAAATCCTCCTGCAGTTCCTACCCTCCAGGAGAGGCAGATTCAGACTGAGAGAGGCTGGCCAATAGCAGCCCTGGCTCTCAAACCAGAACCATCTGTGCCTCACTTCGGGGCTTTGGTCCAGGCCCTCCTCTCCTCCCCTCTCTCTTTAAAGGGGGGGAAGGGGTGAGACTAGGGTCAGAGTGGAGACCCTAACCTGAGAATCTGAAGAAAAGAGTGGATACTTTCATTAAAACAGTCAGATTTAGCTATGTGGTGGTGCATGCCTTTAATCCCAGCATTCGGAGGCAGAAAAAAAAGTCAGATTTATATATCTAAAACTTTTCAGACCATTTTGATGGGATTCTCAGGCTTTTGCCTAACAATTCCCACAACTGGCAAGGATATGCACTCTTTAATTGGAGAGTTTACAGAAAAGTTCAAGTTCATAAAAATTTGAGGCAGGGCCATGAGGATTTTGACTTTTTTTAAGATTCCTGATGGCCTACTGCCAACCCTGAGAATTCCTCTTAGCCCATGCGGGCAAGGGAACCGGGCAGTGCATGCAGGTGAGGGACATGGGGCACCAGGGTAGGGCACATCTTGAGGCTCTGCCTCTGGCATCTGCCCCCACCTAGAAAAGCTGAGCACCTTCAGCAGCAGCTCTTGCCACCTTCCCACCATCACACTTCCTCTTCCTGTTTTGGCCTGCTGTCTGGGAACCTGAAACCTAAGAAAAATCAAGCAGGAGAGGCTACTGGCTCAGCTGCCCCCCAGGTCCACAGGCTGTTTATCCACTATGGGGAATCTGGAAGCGTGCAGAGCCCTTACATGGGTCAGGCTGTTTATTGCAGGGTTTGTGCACTGTACACAGCTAACTCCTAATCTGCCCCTCTACCTGCTACTTCCCTGCATCCCAGACACCCACAAGTGGTGTACTGTCCCCTTGGTAGAACTTAAAGCACAAAGGCTCACAACTTACAAAGTTGGTGACCTTGGACAAGTAGTTAAGGTTTTCTGTGCTCCGGTTTTTACACCTACAAAATGGAGGTCCATTTAAGGTGGTCATTAGGGTCCTTGAGCATGAAGCCTTTTGAACAAGACCAGACATATAATAAAGTTTAAAGTGTCAAGTCTTAGTGATATATTTATTGGGCAGGGGTTGTATGGTGGCATGTTAACATAGCATGGGGAAGCCCTAGGTTCCATCCTCAGCAACACACACATAACACACACACACACACACACACACACACACACGCTTACTATTCATTTTCAGATAAGGAAACAGAGGCTCAGAAAAATGAGATCAACTGTGGAAAGGAAGTGCTCTTAGGTAGGGTAAGGGATTTGAACTCTCAGCCCTCCTAAAGTCTGTGTAAAATGAGGGTCATATATACAATGTTTCCCTTACGCGGACATCAAAGAGGTTAAATGAGGTTTTGATGTGTAAATGTTTAGCACAGAGTTAGCCACAGGAGAAGCTCAATAAATCTTAGTTAAAAAGAAAAACAAAGCTTGAAGCGGAAGAGAAACAGTTCCTGGACTCTCTACCCAGGCAGGAAAGGGCGGACTCCCCACACCAGCTCCTCACTCTGGGCCTCATCTGCTTCATTTGGAGGCAGCACCAGCTCTGAATCCTGACACCAGGAGAAAGTGTACCCCACCCCCACATGTGGCCAAAAGACTGCCTCTGCAGGATAGG